TTAGCCTTTTGTTATATAGGACTAGTAGCCCTACACACGAATCTGTGCGCCAGTAGCTCTCTGTGGGGCCTGGCCGCTCCACACCCACTGCCCAGAGGCTCTCCATGGCCCAGACGAGGCGACGAGGCAAGCATCCCCCACCCGGCCGCTCCATGCCACTGCCCAGAGGCCATCTGTGGCCTGAGTGGAACGCTTGCCTCATCGCTGCGGCAATGAAGCAAGCATTCTGCCAGGCCTCTCAAGCTGCCTGCTCTCAGCGGATCCGGCGGGGCTGAGAGGACTGGGCGCCACCATCTTATGGCTATGGGTGCCGCCATCTTTGTGACGGAGTGATGGTTAATTTGCCTATCACCCTAGATAGGATATGAGTGAGATCATGTGATACTTATCTTTCTGGCTTATTTCGCTTAGCATAATGCTGTCCAATAGCATTGCCGGTGAGTTGTTTTTGAGCTAAATGCAAATAACCCATAACACTGATATATGGTGGGATAATTTTGAATAGTACTCTTCCTATAACCTGTGGTTTAGTTAGCAAGCCCAGTTTCCTTTAATTCTTATTCTACATTTTCTTTTCACACTGCATGTTCTTTTCTCTTACAGTTTTGATTGCTATACGCTGAAATTTCCCATCAGAACCTTTCATGCTTCAGGTGTGTTTATGCTTCTGGGTTACCTGCATATACCCCAGATGCAACAAGCCCAAAACTGAAGTTAGTTTCTCATCCCTTTCTAGAACATGCATACCATTTTCTGTTTAAAAATATATAGAAAATTTTAAAAATATATTTTGCTATCTCACTTTAGATTTTTTTTTTCTTCTTTTTTTTTTTTTTTAGTAGTGATTACTAGACGGCAACAAGCTTGGCAGCTTGTGATTTTATTCTCCTTTTTTTTCTCATTTATTGTATCCCATGTATTTTACCTCCCAAGTGTTTTTCAGCTCTGCCCCTTCTAATTCATACTTATTATAAAAATGTAGGCATTTTTTCATTTGGATGATTGCACAGTTCTTTGACTAAATTTTGCTTCCATAGGTCCATCCTCCCCTGCTGCTGGAATTGATTTGTGTGTTTCAAATGTAAATCTGATTTTTTGTCATTCCACTGTGGATTTTCCCCAACACCTTTGCAAGTCATAGTAGGCCTCCCTAATCTGGTCCACCATTTAATTCTTCGGCCTCTGTTCTACTTCCAACCTCCCTCTTTTCTGTTAAGCTAAAAACAAGTGTTTATTTGGGGTCAAAAGAATTGCAATTCTGGAAATACTGATTCAGGCAAAGACCTAAAAAATGTCCTTATTACAGGGTGAGCACAAGGGGTTTTTATTAGAAAAGGAGGGAATAATTACATGAATAGAAGAAAGAAATTTCTATTGGTGCCAACAAACTGAGTTAATATTTTAGCTATACATGGCTGGTAACTGATTCTGTCTTCAAAAAGAATCCATAATCATCAGTTTTTGTGTTCAGAATGTCTGCTTTTCTGTTGGCTTTGCAAATGGTTGTTTGTAATACATTGTTGGTTTTGCCCAGTCCAAAGCTTATTTTGCCCAGTTCAAATATTCCAAAGGTTCAAGGCCCAAGGCATACAAAGTACTTCCTCTGGAAAGGCTTCTCTGGCTCCATTTTTAAATGGCTTCACTTATTTCAGCTTCTCACATTTCACTCATTTACACCCCATATTGAGTTGTGCCTTTGCTTATTATGTTGGTCCTTCTGGACTGCTTGCCTTTCCTTAGTTGGTTAACTTACACTTAACCTTAAACTCTCCTCTTCCAAGGGAGGAGTCTCTTTCTCTAGGAAGCCCTTTTCTGATTTCTGCTCCTCCATGTGACTACTTCTTTGTGCTTTTGTAGCATTTACAAATTGCATGGAAAACATGGTTCAGGGCCCACTAGCCAATAAACTCTTGGAGGGTCTCATTTCCTATCACATAGTAGCTCTCAATAAATGTTTCCTACTCAGTTGGTTGTCATTGTGAGTCTGTTAGCTTCTAATATGGGTAGACAGGGACAGAAGGAAAACAAGGCTGCTGCTGATAGAACTGATGTTGCCTAATATTAGACCTTGGTAGGTGTATCTGAAGCTTTGGGGAAAGACTGTATTGGGCCATTAAGAAAGTGTCTGCGTTGTGGAACAGGGGTTGAAGGAGTAGTGTTAGAATGAAATAGTGATGAGTGATGAGAAATATTATAAGAGGGCACCGATGATCTAGATTATCTAGGTCTGCATTTTAAGTGGTACTTTAAAAAATCTTAGAACATTTATTCTTCCTGTAACAATAACTTAATTATATAGAGGTTAAAAAACATTAAGTCTGTTACCAGTACTCAAAAACTTAATTAAGACTGGATAATGAAGCTCTGTAATTCACCTTTGAAATGTTTCTGCTCTGTGTTCCATGATGTGGAAAAAAATACAATCCAATTAGGAGTTGATTATATTATCTTTTTAAATAAAGAAGCTATTAGGTTAGAAAAAATAATTTAGATGAATATTCCAGTTGTTTAGTACAATGACAACTTTCAATAAAGAACACTTTGTCTTTAGATGCTTACAGAAATTAGTGTCTGTCTTACAGTTGTCACTTTAGATTACAAACTGCTGCAAGTGGTTTTCATGAGGTGATGCTGCAGGCAATGCTGTGATGGCAGTTGAATTGCTTACTCAGAATTTATCTTTGCTCCCTAGTTTGCCTAGTCTGACCAAAGGATAAAGGCCATACAGGGTTCTCTACACTTTACCCCAATATTCTTGATGATCAGAGAACAGTGTGCCTGGCCTATATGTATTATTTTAATCCCTTCAAAGATGGTATGTGGGAACTTAGTGTACTTTGTCCTGAATATAATTTCTATACAGTATTCATTTTCAAAAAAAATTGTTAGTCTTCTTAAAGCCTAAATTATAGGGTAGTTTTAGGAACCAAATTCTGTATGGTAGAATGATAAATATTTAAAAGCTATATTTATTCATATTATCCTGGAAGTAGACACAAAATTTCAGGGACAAGGATGGATAGATTATTATTACAGCAATAACTGCATCAGTTCCCCTTTGCCTGAGTTCTTCTCCCCACCCCCCATCACTCCGAAATCTATGCAGTAAGAGCTAGATGTTCATTTTTGTAGGCGAAGAACCTAAAAATATGAATCTGGGAGCTTGTGTAGTTGTTACCTCACCTCCTGAGGAAGGGAGAGAAATCCTTGCTCCCTAATGGAAACAAATTCTCCTTAGTTGAAAAGGAGGATACAATCTTTAGCATGTAAATGAACTTTTCTGGGCGGGGGTGGATATCAGAGAGGTCTTAAACTTTAAGGCCCCTGGAATGTCTCCATACTCTCATCCCTCCTGAAATATAAACGCATATGTCTAGAAAGATAAATCTCTTATCTATTCAGTTACCTTTGTGTTTTAAGACTTGTCTGAAGGACAAGTGTTTTTCTGTGTCTGTTGTTTTGCTTCGGGCCCTAACCATGCAGAAACACAAAAATACTTTATGCATAGAAACTGATAAACCTTCCTTTTGTCTTCCCTTTCCCATGATAATTTGAAGTGACACTTTTTTAGTCATGAACAGGTCAAACACTGTTAGGATTGTCTAACTTGAGCTCCTTTCTTTCAATCATAACCGTTGTTGAGTTCTTCAGCAATAAATACCCTGGCAGGTTAGGTTCTGGTTAACCAGTTTTTCCTGAGGGCAGAGCTTAAGAACAGAGTGACCAGTGGCTTCAAGTGCTAGAAAGCAGCTTTTGTATCTTTGACAAAAGTTGGACTAGAGGCCATGCTGTAGAGTCTCAAATTTTCCTGATTTAGTTCTAAGTTCCATGACCATGACTTTTTAAAAAAGTATTGTTTTAAATAGCTGTTGTGTGCCAGGCACAGTGCAAGGTAATGGGGATATTGTGGAGAATAAGATAGATAAAAGTGCCATAGTGGGAGGGTAAGGGGGGCGGGGGGAAGGAAGACATTGAAGAATGGCAAAGTAAGAATTTTGTTAGACTTCATGAAGGAGCTAGCTATGGGGAAATCTTTGGGGGAAAGAGCCTTCTGTTACAGATAGAAGGATGAGCTAGTGAAGGTTGTAAAATGAAAATGAGCAAGATTGATAAAGAGAAGAATGACAGATGTGGCTGACAGATGGTGAACAGAACTCAGAATCACAAGCATCTTTAGGTGTTTGGATTCTGTTTTAATTTCTAAAACAGGCATGATAAACATTTTGCTCTATAACTAGCTTTTAAAAAAAACTTAATGTTTGTTGTGTACATCTGTTGAACTCCATGTCAGACATACAGCTTATATAGTATTCTGTAATATATATATTACATATTATTAATATATAATATA